GGAGCCCGGGCTGCTGCGGGCGGGCGCCGGGCGCGGGCCGCCCAGGCCCCCCCTCGCGCCCTGGGCACAGGACCGCGGCTCGACCTCCCGGGGCCCTTGCTGGGCCTCGGGGTCGTCCCCCCAAGGAACTGCCCGGGGTGAAGAAGCGGTCCCGGGGAAGGGGTCCAGGCCTCCGGGGGCCAGTGTTGGGAGGAAGAGGTCACGACGTCGGGGGCCTGGGAATCGTGGGGGGGGGGGGGGGGCAATTCATGGAGGGGGCGGCGAGGGATGCAGAAAACGAGCCGTTCAGGGCCCCTCAAGGGGCCCAGAAGGGAGCCATTCGGCGCCCGCAAAATGCACCTTTCTCCCCCCCCCCGCCCTGTCCCTGACCTTCCAGAGAGCTATTTTTTAGCACGGGAGACCTACAAACCTAAAAAACAAAAAGAAACAGCCTAAAACCAAGACATATAATAAGTCTGGGATCGGTTTTTAAGTCGCGTGCTACTTTTTTAGCCCTCCTGGAAGGTCAGGGCTGTTTCCCCCCCCCCCCCCCTACCCCTGCTTAAGCGACGCCCATGGGCGCCGCGCCGGCCTGGCGCCCGGGCGCGCTCTCGAGCCAGGGCGGGGGTGCTGCGAATGGAGCGGGGCATGGTTTCGTCAGCAGGGTCTCGGAGGGGTGCTGCACGGCGCCCCAGGGCCCCCGCGAGCGGCCCTGCAGGCCTTAGCCACAGCAGTCCCACAGCACCGTGGCGACATGCCTCGCCTGGAGAAGCAGGGATTGGCGGGGGCGGCGGGGGTCTGCAGCCATGGCGGCCCCAACTTCTCTCGTGCCTCAGGCGCTGGCTCTGAAGAGATGGAGTGGCGAAATCCTCCCTTTGTCCTGCTCCACCCCCCTGCGCGCGCGCTGGCAAGAGGGAGGGGGAGCACAGCTTATCAGGGACCGGGCGGGTCCGGGCGGGTCCGACTAGGCGGCGGGGCCACCAGGAGCTCACGGAGCGAAGCTAAGGTAAGATTTTGTTTTAAACGAATGTGTACATGTGGCCGCGTCTATGTTGTAGCGTTGCCAACCTGCGGCGGTCACACGCCCGTGCTGGTGGGCACGGTGCGTGACCCCTCTCGGCAGCCCTCGGGGGGAGCCCGCTGGAGCCCGGCGGGGCTGGCGTGACCCCGTGTTGGACCTGTGACCCAGCGGGGCTATGTGACCAGGCGTTCCAGAAAGGGCCTTGCCTTCGAGGATCGAAGGAATTGTCATCTGTTCCATCGGCGGAAGGTGGAAGAGCGGCGGAAGGTCGGCGGAAATAAAACGAGGCCGCCTCCGCCAGCGGAAGCTCGGAGGAAGTAAAAAATGTGCCCCCAAGAGATGAAAACGTTCTGGGGTTCAGGGTTGGCCAAGACCGCCATGGCGCTCAACTGGTCCTGCTCAAGCCTGTGTCATCTCTAAAACTGGGTCTCCCTGGGAGCCGCCGAGAATTTGACACGTCAATTCCGGAGAAAGAGTTTCGCCATCCCGCTGTGCAACGGCTGCTGTGTGTGTCCCTGGCAGACTGGCCTCCGTCCACAACGCTCGGGGCAATTACCTCTTTCGTTCCTCGCTAGTGTTATACTATGCATTTGGCTCCTGAAAGGCACCCCAAGAGAATCCGAAAGGCATCACACACGCCTCTGACCCACGGCCCAAGCACGCTGGCGGGATGTACTGACGGAGCTTGGGTGGGTGCCTGCTCCATTGAGCGTTGCCTTGCAACAACCCTGCCGCTGTCTCCCCTCCTGCAAGGTTTACACGACAGGTGAGGGAAGTGACAGCCACCCATCACCTTCTTAGCCCTTGCGAGCAGGCAGGCAAGTGCCAGCCATGATGCGGCATGGGCTGGCGGAGTGAGGGTACAGCGGTGGGCGGTATGCAGAGAGAAAGCGGTAGGAAGCGCGAGAGCATGGCGGAGTGTAATACATTGGGTTCGAGAGGGAGCAGGACAAGGATGAGGATGAGGAGGAGGAGGAGCAGGAGCAGGAGCAGGAGAAAGCGAGCATCGAGGGGAGAGGGGGAGCGGAGGGCGTGGTATTAAGTCGGGCCTGTCCTCGCACAGGGGATTATGGACACAGTACGAAAATAATCCAAACATTCCCTGGCTAACAAATACTCAAAACAGATTCCCTACACTATTTTTGACAATGCTTGAATATCGTTTGGAAAGTGTCAAAGATAGTAGAAGCATCGTCCCTGTACTATGTTTTGACACATTGTTTGGTTTTCCTCCTGTAGAGGGACACGCCCGACTCAAGCGTGGTAGATGATGACCTGGAGCCCCGACCGCCACCCCACACACGACCGCAGGAACCTCTCGGAGCCCCGCTCCTCCCATGACGAGTTCCAGGGGGAGGTCACCACCAGAGGGGATCGCCACTTCCTCGAGGGAGCGCCGCTCCCAGAACACCCAGACGTCCAGAAGATCTCCAAGCGCCCCCCCCACACACACACACACACACGCACGCACGCACGCACGAACGCACGCGCACACACACACACACACACACACACACACACACACACACACACACACACACACACACACACACACACACGCACACGCACGCACGCACGCACGCACGCACGCACACGCACGCACGCACACACCACACACACACACACACACACACACACACACACACACACACACACACACACACACACACACACACACACACACGCACGCACGCACACACGCACGCACGCACGCACGCACGCACGCACGCACGCACGCACGGGTATGCAGCCCTGCAGGCCGTCAAAGCGTCTCCGAAGGTTGTGCGAATAGTCTCTGACCATCTTTCCCTCGTCCAGGAAGGACAGAGCTGGTGTGAGCGCGAGGCTATGGGCCCTGCTCGCCATGCTGAAATCTGGAGAGCGCTCCGAGGCGTGGTTGAGCGGCAGGCCAGGCCCCCTCCTAGTTTCGCCTGGACCCCTTCTCATAAGTCGCTGGAGGCTGTTCTGGAGAAGGGGGTGGGGGTCCGTGCGTGGCTTGGCAACGCGTGGGCGGATTTCTTTGCTTCGGTTGCGTTACATGTTATCTGTCATAGCCCGTGCTTTCACAAAGCCTTAGAGGTACGGCTCTCAGAAGCTATTGCGAATGCTAAGTATGTCTCCTGGGCTGGTGCGCAGATTTTGGTGTCGGAGTTCTGGAACCCTTCCCAGCCTGAGCCTCGGGCCCCCAGGCCTCCTCCTGCGCCTCCGAGGGTTGCCTTGAACCCGCACCAGCTCATCCAATGCCGTGGAGGAGTGCGTTGCCTGAATTGGAATCTCTCGGCGTTCACCACTGAGACTCGGCGCGCAATTGAGTGCCGACCTTGTCGCCCCACTCTGTTGAAGCGGCAGCGTGCCGAAGCCCTCCTGCAGGCTGAGGGGGTCACTAGCCCTGCCCCTGCCCCTTCCTCTGGTGCCGTGGCCGCCGCGCTGACGGCAGCTGCTGTCGTTTGTGGCGCTGCGAGGCGCGATGATAGCCGCGAGGCCAGCAGATCCCCGCGAGGGAAGCCTCAACCGGTGGAGGGAGCGTCGTCCCAGTCGTCGTCGGAGGGAGGAGGGAAGCGTGAATCGCACGAGGCCATCGTGGCCCGTCTCCTTGCTGCTGCTCGAGGCCCTTCTGTGGCCACCCCCTCGCCCCCCTCTGGGGCTACTGGAGGAGGTGGAGGTGGAGGGGAGAGTGGCAGGGCCAGCAGCTGGGGCGAGGAGCGAGGCGCTGCGCGGAGCGCGCGCGCGACCGCCCCCCCTGCCACTGCCACCTCGCCGCTGGCCACGGTGGCGGCGGCTGCGGCTGCCGAGGCCCCTCCCCCGAGGGGCCAGGCCGCCCGAGCGCCTGCTGCGGCCGCCGCTATCGATGGGGATAGGGGTGGGCCGTGCGCGGGGGCTGGGGGTGGGGCGGATCGTTCGCGAGCTGTGATTCGAGGGTCAGGAGCTGCTCAGTCACCCGTCTTCGAGAACGGGCATGAGCTCCTGACTTGTCCTCCTTATGTGTATTGCAGGCGGTGTGGAGGGGTAGCTCAGAAGCAGAGTCGCCTCTTGTCACAGCCGTGCACTGGTACTGTTCCTGCCCTGCACTTGTGCAGGACTCCCGCGGAGCGGGAGCGAGCGAGGCGACGGGACAACCTTGCGGCTGGGCTCCACCCCTCGGGGAAGCGCCTGGGCTAGGGTCGGGGCCGCTCGCAAGGGTTCCCGTGTTGCCCTAAGTGCTCGTGCAGGCCCTTTTTGGCCTTGCTTTCGGCGGTCTGGGGACCGCTTCTGTGCTCTCTAGCCTCCTAGAGCCTCGAGAGCCCCCAGGCCTCAGTGGCCTTCTGGGCAGGGCTGTGTTCGTATCACACGTGATTCGGACGCTGTCCCTTCGGTAGCTCGACACACACACACAAACACACACACACACACACAGACACACACACACAAAACCCCAATCGTCCAAGAACCTCATCCTCCTCCTCCTCCTCCTCGCCTCGAGCTTCGGTCCGGGAGCCTCGCTTCCCACGAGGCGCTGGTAACGCCCCCCCTGGTGGTGACCCGCCCCCCCCCCCCGCCGTTGCACTGGCCCCCGACCCCTCCCCCTGCTGCCCGCCGCGGCCGGGCATGGGAGGAGGAGCAGCAGGCAGTGGCCGCGAAGAGGAAGGGGAAGGGGGACGCGGGGGATGAGCCGCGATATCGGTGACACGCAAGAGTAACCGGCGAGGGACGAGGGAGGGGGCGGACGCAACGAGAGGCCCGAAAGAGGAGGGCGAAGCGGGCCCGAACGCACCTCTTCCTCCTCCTCCTTCTCCTTTCTTCCTCCTCATCCTCCTCCTTCTCCTGCTTCTCCTCCTCCTCCTCCTCCTCTTCCTCCTCCTCCTCTACCTCCTCCTCCTCCTCCTCCTCCTCCTCCTCCTCCTCCCCCTCCTCCACCTCCTCCTCCTGTAGGCTGCACGCAAGTGCGACCCTGCGTAAGAATGACCTTTGCTGCGCGGCTTTCGGGGGGCCGCAGGGGGGCCAGACACGACAGCGCAAGACG